ACATGTCTCGGACCGCATCCGTGAACATAAAGCTGACCTGAAACACGGTAGGACTAACACCTCAGCCGTGGCAGATCACTGTTACAACTCAGTGGGCTCACATGATATTGACTTCTCCAAGACAGAGGTTCTCTGCAAGCCATCTGGCTATCATGAGAGATTCGTTCATGAGGCGATCCACATATACAAACACAGAGACAACTTTAACCGAGAAGATGGATTCTGGCTCAGCAATCATTGGAAGGACGTAATAAACCATTTCGATACACATTAGGGTGTGTAGAATAATACATAGTGTGATATTAAATGTATAAGATATAGGTTGGTTTACAGCAATACAGTATATAATTTAATGTTGGGTTTATCTATGGCAGTATATAGTACGGTATATGCTCGTGTGATGTAAGAGAATAAGGTTTAGATGGAAGCATATTATAGAATTTTTACGAGGTAAAATTGTAATGTATTACTTGCTGTTAGTAACTCAGCTTATTATAGAGTATAGTAAGTATACTGATGGTGCGATGCAGTTTATACTTTAGTTTTTTATGTAGTTTATACTTTAGTTTTCTACGTGGTTGTTGAGTAACTGCAGCTACATATCATTAACATTCCTTTCCTTTGTTACTGCTAATCCCTGCACCCCCCTTGGTTGCTGCTGATCCTGCATAATGCATGGGCATAATATGACTTTGACACCCCCCCGCCCAACGCCTACGCATTTTCCATGAATATGCTAAATCCCTCTTCACATGCACATTCTTTTTGTTAAGGCGCTCTTCAACCCCCAATGCAGCTTATATATAAGCTCCTAGTTTGGTAGTGTCTCATTCTTCACCTGAAGACGGCTGCTTGCGTTGTAGCCGAAACGTCGTGAGAATTGTTTTATTATGTTTTGTTTTTATTATTTTTGATTACTTCCCTTCTACGTGACTTTACCGAAAGAAACAAGAAGATGAATCCCTGCAGTCACGAAAGCTTTAAATCGAAATTTACTTAATGATATTTAATCAATGCATGAAGTAATACTTACTGTACCTACAACAGCCCGCTGTTAACAGGAGAATGGTCGGTAAGCGAACACATTGGGCTCTGGAGGCACTACACTACTATACACTTCACTACTATACACTACACTACTATACACCACTACTATACACTACTACTATACACTAAACTACTATACACTACACTACTACACTACACTATACACTGGGCTCTGGAGGCCTGTCGTTAAGCAATTAATCATTACCAAGGGTGGTCGTTAAAAAGGGTTCTACTCTACACTACACTATACACTACACTACTGTACACCACTACTATAAACGACACATTGGGCTCAATGGAGGCCGGTCGTTAAACGATTACGGTAGTCATCAACAGGGATGGTTGGCAAGAGGGGTTCTACTGTACATACATACGTCTTACTGACTGTTCAGAAAGCGTTCAGTGGGTTTCGGTGAAAACGCGTCGAGAGAAGGGGCCGATGACCGAGAGACCAAGAATAGTGCCGGAGCGGCAGCCAGAGGAGGAGGCCAATCCTGCCGGAGAGGACGTCCACAATGGAGGTGGAGCGATGAAATCAACTCGTACGCCGGCTGCTGGGCGGATTATTACATTGATTGTTTCGTGCGGTCAGCGAAGGGACTTCGTTTCACTGATTCGTTTCTTAAGTGATGTGGCCACCGCAGAGAAGTTTGCGGGCCAGCCACTGCTTTGGAGAGGAGGCTTTTATCCAGCGGTGAATCGATCATGGTGGGTGGTGGCGAACGTGCAGCAATCGTAAACAAAAAAAACAATGATCGTCTATTAAAGATGCGTGGAAGCGAGGGAACGTGTTGAGCCTGGCCGGTGTGTTTGATCGCATACTGTTGAGTCCGGTTCCTTTACTTTTTCAAAGGGATCATGTAATCGTGCTTTAATCTTATTCTGTTAGGCGAATGCCACACTGGGATTCGTCTATTTGCCATCTGTTCCTTCTCATTCAATGGGGAGAGACACCAGTTCGGCTGTCGAGTGATAACTGTATCTTTTCATTATTTGTTTTCCCCTTTCCCCCCCCCCCTTTACCAATTAATTCCGGATTACGCTGTGTCGGTCTCAGGTCACGAGTCGAAGTTATTCACTCGGGACCTCTCGCAGAGAGCAGCAGTGCAGATCATTGTTGGAGAATTGTCCCACATACATCTCACATCCCTTCAAGTGCCACGATGGTGAGATGTTAACTCCCTCGCTTCGTACACAGGATGTCTTGGGTTCGATCCCAACGCCTGCTGTATATTTTTAGTTTGCGGTGTTCTCTCCGTGGCCGCGTGGACTTTTCCCCGGGTCCTTCGGTTTTTTCCTCCACATTTAGAATCGTGCGTTTAGAGTGTTTGGCTGCTGCGAATTTCCACGTTATGATGAGCCGCTTCGTTGAGCTATCAATTTGTGGCCAGGTCGCTTCTGAAAATGAGCTGTACAGGTAAGGATCAAAGTTACAAATCACATTCGCCACTGAGAGTTAACATTTCTGAGGCATGGAATTCAGCCGTACTCAGCGCGGAACCAAATTAACGTGATCATTTTGTTGTTGTTCGTGTACATTCATTGAGGAGCGAGCTGAGACCATCATCAGCATGTTACATTTTGAGAACCCGGTTTAATCACTGGATTCGAACCCATGGCCTAAAGCAGTCTTCTACATTGCAAGGCCCGTGGGCCTGCAGGCAGCCCCTAGTGCGGCCCCTGACGCCAGAGGTCGCAATCGGGTACCCGATACCCGTACCCTACCCGATACCCGGCTACCCGTACCCGGGTACAGGTAAGGAATCAAAACCCGTTTGCGACCTCTGCCTGACGCACCCCATCATGCTGTCTCAAACCCAATGGTTTCACATGTGTGGCGGCCCTCGCACTGATGTCTTATCGGTGAAATTGACCCAAAGCACTAACCTACGAAGCTACCTGGCCACCTCTAAGTATTAACATATCTTACATGCAGCGGGAGACTGGGTGAGTGCCGTAAAACCATGTCCACGATGATTATAGCAACAAAACTATGTTCAGTAAAACTCCCATCATTTGATTTCACGTGGGAAATTATTGCCTTTGCACGGTCTAGTTTTAGAGCAAAATACGTCAAAGGTGCAGCCATCACAATTGCATGCTCACACCACTGCCGACGGGAGCTTACCTTTTCGTGCTGTTAGGTTTTTTCGGTAAAGTCACGTAGGTAAAAATAAATAATAGAAATAATAATTGAAATAAAATAATAAATCATGACGTTTCGGGCGCAACACAAGCGTCCGTCATCAGGTTGGACAACCACAGCAAGAAACAATTGCTGATTCGAGCATCTTGGATGAACAGGTGGCGTGCCCGCACTTTACCCCACCTGCCGATGTACTGCGATGCCGAACCCACTTGCACTGCTGGGTGGGCAGCGGCAGCGGCAGAGGCGGAGTGGGGGGGAGGGCACCATTATTTCAACTGCTGTGCTGGCTGGGTGAGATCTCGAAGCAGTGGCGACCACCAGATTGCGAGTCCCATGCACGACACCCGTTTCACCACGGCGGCATCCGGTCGTACAAGAGTAAGCTGCTCGGCTATAATTAGACCTTCGTGTTGACCCTAGTTGCTGGGTTTTGGTCTTGCTCAGAGATGCACTGCATCTGCGGACACTTGCCTCGTTCTAAGGAAACGGAATAAAGGTCATGCTTTTGAAAGAAGGTTATATCTTTTTGCCTCTCCGCAGATTGAGTGACTTTGTGCGTTGGCAATTCTTGCGTTTTTAAAGGTATGCAGTCGATAACGATTGCAGGGCACATGACCTAAATGCCTATGAGCACACTGTGTATACATCTTGACGCAGAAGTGTTCAGGATCAAACTCTACTGATGGAATAGGTGTATGGCGCTGGTGCGTGGTTACAACCGCTGCACTTACTACGCTCTTGTTTACGTTTCCTGGCATAAAGTACCGGACCCACAACAGGATGTTTTCTGTACCCCCCTTTTGGTTTCACTTCTCTCTTCTGCCATAGTTTCTTCCACTTTTCTCCCAGACGAATTTTCCCGTGAGCGTCACGATTTCCTCCGTGCCAGAAGCCCCCTTATCGAAGATGTACATTGAACTAATTCAACTCATTGCTAGGGCCCATTTCTAGCAGCGTAAACATGTCGCAGTTCACCAAGCGTTGTTTTAAGCAGGCCTGACTGCTGATATGACACTGTCAAAAACCGATCTTGAGTTTGCTTCTGTTAAACAAATGCTGCTGAAAAATATTGTACCAGAAGCCTTGTGTAGCTGATCGGATGTTTAAAAAAAAAAACTTTTATGTGATGAGATGGTTATCGGATGGAGGTGTTTTGTTGTCTGCTTATTTATTGTGTTAACTCATTGCAGGCCCAGTGTCTTCCTCGCCCATACTTTCAGTATAGACCTCTGCTGCTGCACCGTGAACTTTTAGACTGTTTAAGTTGTAAGAATCGATTAAACAAATTTCATTGCGGATGTCGTGCACGTTTCTCCACAGAACGGCACTTGTGAAACAAAATCACAAGTGCTGTTCCTGTGTTCGTGGCGCTCGATGACGAATGGGCCCCGTGCCCCCTCAGGATGCCCTGGGACTTGTCGGCGCTGCCTCGGCTGTCCCTGGCGCTCATTGTCATCGTTGGTACTGGGCTCCACTTGTTTTATCTCTGGCTGTGTCACGGTGTTCTTTTTATCGTCTCTCCTATGTTTCTCTGCCCTGCCCCCCAACGGAGGACGGTAGATGGTGGGCAGGGGGAAGGGGGTAGCTGCCTTGATGTGAATCCAGAATATCAAGGGATGCCGGCCCCTTGCGCTCCGACCTCCGATCCGACCCCGGCCAGCTCTGTTGATGCCGGCATGTCGACCCGACTCTACGAGCCGCGCCAACGCTCGGCGCGACTTCCGCGGCGCCTCCTTTAGAGTGCGAGCGCAACTCAAGCTCCCCCTCGTTGTCCCCACCCCCTGCCTCTCGTCCCCCACCGCAGGATGTAAATAGCGCTGGCGGGGAGGCAGCAGCGCCATGTACAGCGGCATGCGGGGCGGCGGGACCGGCCAGGGCGTGGGGCCTGGCGGGGTGGGCTCGGTGCTGCCGGTGGTGGGCGGGAAGTCGCTGAGCGGCGGTGTCGGCGGCGGCGGTGGCCGGGGCCACCACCGCGCAAGCTTCTTCATCCTGCTCAAGGACCAAGATGTGGACGAGCGGTGCGGGCCCGTGCCCAAGGGCAGCATCTGCTTCACCGCCGACGGGCAGGACATCTGGGATGCGCAGGTGAGATGCAGCGGAGTGGCGGCGGTGCGCTTTCTTGAGCGGGAGACTGCCGTTGCCGCCTTGGTTTTTGCGCTTAACCATTTCCCGTTCCGATGACGTACATGTGCGTCATCAGTTTTTCTTCCAGTTCCGTTACGATGACTTAAGTACACGTGCGGTATCGGAACGGAATCAGAAGAAAAACTAAAATAACTTATTTGGTATCGAGGCTCCCGCAAGGCCATGCGGGCAGGCGTGTGGCACAGTTTGGTGGCAGCTATCATGGGATGTGGGCTTGTCGCTACAATTCTCTGCGATGAGTACGATGTCTTTAAAAAATTAACCCGTAAAAACAAAGTTTTTCACTTTAAATCCTTTATATGCGTGGCGGCTAGAGTCCTCTCGTCCTCTGGCTTGAGATGGCTGCCACCTATGGGTCAGATGATTGCCTGCCACCTTTAAGCAATTGGTAATTAAATATAATTTATTTTTTCCTAAAAAGTGTTAAATTTTGGAATATAAATTGTCACGCACAACGAGTCTGTGTGCAAAATGTCAGCTCGATTGGATCACGGGAAGTGGGTTAAAAAACGACCGAAAGATTTGCACGGTCGTAAGCGCGCAAGCAAGCAAGTGAACTTAATATAAAGGATTTAAAAATGACGGCACAGTGCCTCGCTAAATAAAATTGATGCTTAACCGCTTGCGCGTTCCGAGATTTAGCAGTGAACAGGACACCCACACTGCAACTTACATAATTTTGGAATGGGAAAGTGTTATAAGGTGAACAGGCTCGCTCTCGCTCAGACACAGACCCGCTTGAACACGGGGACAGTCTCACAGACACTACTAAGATGTGCCGCAGGCCCCAATTTTTATTTGAATCTCAAATTGAAACACGCTAGCGCGACATCTGCTGCAGTTACATCTCGAGAATCATTCTATGTGAAGCGGAACTGCGCTGCGATGTTTGTGTGCGCGCTGCCTTGGCTGTCTTCCCCCCCCCCGTTTCTTGACTCCGTGTAAACATATTTGACGCTGTGTAAGCACCGTCTCATTACGCGTTTTTTGCTATGTATTTGTCACTGAACACCCGAGACAACCCTTGCGAACGATATGTTCCATCTCAAGGGAACATCCTGGTGATGGATTTTAATTTGGAAAAATTTAAACCATCGTACGCGTAAGGTGGAGGGGCGGTGGGGGGGGGGCGCGGTACCAGCCTCACGACACACCTGTGCAGCGTGCCCCCGTTAGCCACTGGTGGATGTGAGTGCGCCAAGAGGGCAGTTATCGGCTGACCGACGTCGCCAGCCTTCCTCCCAATTGCATTGCTCACGGACACTCCACAGTGCCATCTGACAAACACCCCCACACATCTCTCTGCCATAAAGAAGGGCCATTGCCCGAAACGTTGCCTATTTTATATATAAGTGTTTCACCTCTTTAGGGCATTGTCTTCGAGCAGGGCGCGCTAACCGCCGCGCCAACGCTGCATCCCCCGCAGCCCAGTTGTACGGGGTGATGCATTCATCGATACCCCACTGATTTCTAGCGGCCCTCTTACTTGCCTCTCAGCAGCTGATTGAATACCGTGAAAGCGACGCCCCCATAGCTCACTAACCGAGGAGGAGGAGGAGGGCGTTGAAAGAGATTTAATGCATCTGTTGAGATCGGTGGGAGACGGCGTAGAGGATTTGAAATAAAATGTCGTTTTCTTGCTCACGGTAACTCGACCGTCCTCTCGATGTTTGCGGGGTAAAACGGATCGCCGTGGGCTTCTACGGAAGAGCGCCCACGCTCCCCCTCGAATAATTAGTTTATCTTTCGCGGCGGCGTCTTAGCTTTACCTGGGGCTCATGCCGTTGTGCCACGGCTTGTAACCGCTGGGCGGTCCACGCACTCTGTGGTTTCCTGGTGCGATCGCACGCCGCGCGGCTACGGGGTATTTTCTGGTACACGCAAACAAAAGCTCGGCGCGAGTGCGGCGGCGGTGTGTATTGGGGTCAGATTGCAAAGTGCACTCCTGGCACGGGTTTTATGCAATCGGATCGGGAGACTTTCAGAGATGTAAATCCGGGCGTTCCTGCGCAGGCTGCCCGAGAGTAGAGAAATGCGAGGTGGTTTTTTTTTCTTTCTGCTCAGTACAGTTTTTTTTTTCTATACAGTTCGGTCATTTGGCCCCCTTCTCCTAGCTTTTGGTGTTGTTTTTTTGTGTGAACAAATGAACCTTATGGCGGGAGCCCGGGGTCCCGAATAAACGGAAGTCAAAATCGTAATTAATAAAAAAAAATTGTTGACTCCGTCGCACCGCGCACATAAACGCCACAACCCACCTGGCGCGGATCATTCTGTTGTCATGTCGTCCAAGCGCAGCGAAGACAAATGCCGTCGTCATGAACAAAACTTTGATTAGCGCATCGTGTAGAGCTCGTCGACAGCAATAGATTGCCGTATCGTTCGCCTTCAACAGACATAAAATAACGTCGCAACGCAGTTTATGCGAGAGCCGGGTGCTTATGGAACCTCGGGGTCCCGCCGTAAGGCTCAAATGCAGAGATGAGCACATGGCCAGCAATCCTGCGTCTCTTATTAAGGACTGCTGCCCCGTGACGTTATTCACCACAGTGCATTGCGGCTCTTTAAATATAGAGTTTTTTTTACCGAATTCGAAAAAAAAAATTGCCTCCCCCTTGTTATTTTGGTTGCCGACCCCTGGCTGAGTGGATCGGTGCTAGATCGAGTGAGAGGGGCTCACTCATCAGGAAAGGTTGCGAGTTAAATTTCTGGTTGGAGGTTGGTTGTCCCCCACCGTCCCACGTCTGGGTTGAATACAAGGAGTGGCACTGTGTGGGGGGGAAAGTGGACAGCGTTCATCCGAAGGGTGTACTCGTCCATGCCATTTTTATAATGACAAATTTCCACCACACCTGCGACTGTAGCTGCAAATCAAACGGTGGAATGCATCAACGGCACTTGTCCACTTAACTCTCGATGTGGGCGGGGGGGGGGTGTAAGGTCTTCAATTGATCTCACCAGAAGTTATCTTGTCAGTACACAACTTGCCTTTAAAGCAACCTAAAAAAACATTTTTAATGTGTCTGTTGGCACACTTTTGTCCCGATTTGTGACTGGCGACACAGTTGCTATAACAATTGTACCTCACGGCAGCAAGAAGGACCTGGGTTCAATTCCCAACTTGAGAATGCCTTTCAACGTGGAATTCAGAATCGGGATGTTTATTTATCCTGGAGGAATCCGATGCGCTATAAAGCTCTTTTTCACAGATGTCCAGTAGTTTGTATGGGTTTCCTACTGGGTGTTCCCGGTTTCCTCCGATAACTAAATTTGTTTTTACTTACAACGTAACCGGTATTCGCCAGACATGTCAATGCTGAAAAATTACCTCTCAGTTGCGATTATACGCAGCAGCAGCAACGTACTCCCCGACTGCGACCCTCCTGAATATAATAGTCTTGTGTAATCAAGCGGAAATAAATAAATGAATTGTGCCAATATCTAGAAAAAACACATTCCTGCGGAGGGAGCTGGTAGGAACGTTGGGTTGCCCGGTCAATGGCCAGGATCAACGGCGGCGTGGTGTATTCCGCAAATATGGCCGACTGTGAGGGCGGGCACAAGCCGGCGTGAGTAGGTTAAACGTTGAGTTTTATAAGGGCACCACCCAGCCCCACCCCCCACCCAGCCCCACCCTTCCCACCCAGCCCCTCCCGACCCTCCCCTCTCCACCCAGCCCCACCCCACCCATTTTTGGATGCACGACGGACGGACGGACACAATAATCCCCTGTGGGCTGGTGTAACCAGGAGGTTCCTACCAGTATAATCCATTTGTGACTCTCACAGAGCAGTGGCTACCCTTTGTATCGGAGAACGGGCCTTGGAAGGGAATACTGCAGAACTACCTCGGAGTTCCCCTCAAGCGATTGATGGTGTACACAGAACGGGGCAGAACTTGTGGATCCGCTCTGCGACCTAGAGAAATGCTCCCTTCATGACCGCCAATTCTCACAACTGGAATGTCGCCAAATTGAGGGCAGAAGCTAACATAACGTGATGTGTTTTTTTGTTGCATCGTCATTGGTGACGTGGGGTGGGGGGGTGCTGACGCCATCAACTCGCCACTCCTCAGAACCCGGTTTAATTGCAGGCGTTGAGACTGTTTGGATTTTTTTTTTTGCCGCTATAAACGTCCGAATGAGAAGCCACTTTGTTGAGCTCTCCTTTGTGGCTGGGTCCCTTTTGACACGTGGCTCGAAGCGCGCTGCGTCAGCATTAACGTAAACCTCAGTGGGCTTGGCCTGGTGGGATGGGGATGCTTTAGTTTTAGTTGTATGTGTTTGGGTGATTTGTCTTGTACTTTGCACTCCTATCGTGTTTGTGTACTGTTTGTTGTAACGTTTGTACCCGCCCTTACTAGACATCCGTGAAAAGAGTTTAATAGCTCATCGGATTCCTCCAGTATAAATAACTATTCCGATTCTGGCTCCTACATTGAGGGAAAAACGTATTTGATCCCCTACTGATTTTGTACGTTTGCCCACTGACAAATAAATGATCAGCCTATAATTTTAATGGTAGGTTTATTTGAACAGTGAGAGACAGAATAACAACAAAAAATGCAGAAAAACGCATGTCATAAATGTTATAAATTGATTTGCATTTTAATGAGGGAAATAAGTATTTGACCCCTCTGCAAAACATGACTTAGGACTTGGTGGCAAAACCCTTGTTGGCAAACACAGAGGTCAGACGTTTCTTGTAGTTGGCCACCAGGTTTGCACACATCTCAGGAGGGATTTTGTCCCACTCCTCTTTGCAGATCTTCGTCGGCTTTCAGTGTCACGGAGAAAATGCCAAACCACACCGCGCGGTACAACTCGCGGAGAGCTTGACCGTCTGTTAATTTGTTTTCATCGATGCTGTTTGCAGTTTAGTTTTTCTGGGAGGGGTTAAACGAAACGGAAAGCTATCCGCGCCTTTTCCGCACCCGCTCGCCCACTCGCCCGCGCTTCTCTTCGCAACGCCGATGTTGACAAATCACCACTTTTGTTTTCCTGTGTCGGAAAACACCCCGAGGCAAAGCCAGTGAACGCGATAAATGGCGAGGCTGCGGGTAGAAAGTGCTATCGGAATCGAATGCGTAATAGCCGCGTAGTCGTTAAATATTAATATTTCTTAAAAACATTCATTACGGAGCGGCGAGCAATTGTGCCACTATGTTTTGTTTGCCCCGCCCTGCCCCCCCCCTCCCCCAATACGATGAGACGTGCGTTTAAAGTGCCAATCCGTTTGTGCTCAGGGACGAACAATGCTTGCTGTGACCTTTGTGGACTACCTGGACACCATCGCCAAAGTGCTTCCAAAGGCATTGAAGTGAGTGTTTGGGTCAGTGAGAGGCTAAGTGAGACGGTGGTTTGAGATTGGGTGGGTGAGTGGATGGTTGAGTGAGTCAGTGGGTGAGTGATTGGGTGGATGAGCGGGTGGGTTTATGAGAGAGTGTGTGGTTGAATGGGTGGGTGAGTGATTGAATGAGTGGGTGGTTTGGTGTGTGGCTATATGACCCAGCGGAAGTGACTTCCTGTGGAAATGAGCACGAAGGCTATGTTCAGCTCCTGTTTACAGCCCAGAGTCGGTGAAAAACAGGGGTGTCACGGTGGCGAGATGTTAGTTACCTTGTCTGGTATGCAGGAGGTCGTGGGTTCGATCTCGACCCCGACACCCGTATATTTGGAGTTTTCCCTCCACATTTAGAATCAACGTGTGTTTCAAGTATTTGGTTGCTATTACATTTCCACACGATGATCCACTTCATTGAGATATAATTTGTGGCCAGGTCGCATCTGAGAAAGAGTTATGCAGTAGATCAACGATTATCCAGCGGCCCAAATTTTTTAAAACGCCAGATAATCACTAATCATGATTTTAAATAGCTTATTTTGGCACATTCTTGTGTAACATGTTTTTAGGTGTTTTGTTCGCTAACGCAATCGAACGCATTGCATTTAAGGAGGAGTCTACTGTTCATATGCTCTTGTTTTACCCATCTGTTCAATCACCGGTGCTCCAGCGTACACTGAATTACATGCACTTTTTTCCGGATCGCACTGTGTGTTTTCTGTTTTTATTAGTTATTAGTCGTGAAACATGTTTTTATATGTGTTGTATTTTTCATGTTTAAATTGTATGTAGTGCATAATGTCATTTCGCACTGAAATCGACCATCGGTACTTTTTTTGTGACGCACGTGGTACCGATCGCCGAACTGGTGTACACCCTTCGGAGCGGTTTTCCGGCGTTGGCCGGATGACATGCCGGTTTCACCGGATCTGCCCCGCACCGCCGAATAATGTTGGAAGCCGGATAATCGACAATCTACTGTATAGCTCAGTGGGCCTTACCTGGTAAAATAAATATAGTTTAAGTAGTTTTACTATTACATCCAATTCTAGAGGGCCGATCGTTGTTGACTTCCCCACAAAGTGGTAGACATTTTACCGACCCAGTTAAGGGATGATGGTCCCGGGTCAACCGCCAACCAGGATTTCAACGAGCGCAACCTTCCGATCGCGAGCTGCTCTCCCTACCTGCCGAGCCGCAGCACGGGAAGGGGGGTGGGGTGGGGGAGACAGACCTTCATCCAGCAGTGGATCGACAGGGGGCCTGGCGGATTTTAATTAAGCAAAGGTCCGTCCGTCGATTTGTTGATTGGGCTCGCGAGCCGGCGTTCCCACGCAAAAGGCCACTCGGGTCCCAAGAAATCGTGGCCGTTTCACGCGGAGCGTTTTGGTCCCGTTATCGATTCCACTTAGCGGCGGCACGTGACCTGCGCAGCGCGCGCCCGCTGGGGAAGAGCCCAGCGGAGCCGATTAATTTCCCCGTGGCACAATCGCTCAAGGTGGTGGTGGGCGGGGGGGGTGGCATGGTGGTGTGTTGGGAGGTTCAGGCATCTGATGGATTTCCTGCTCAAACGAGAACTGAGGCATTGCGCTCGTCTCCTGTTGACGCTGCCAAGCCAGCGGTGGAAAGTCCACATTCCCATGGCGGGGGAGAGTGTATCCGTAGGGCAACCACTGTTGACTTCCCAACAGTGCGCTACTCGTTTTTGAGACCTCCGTAGGGAGGATGGGCGAGTCCAACGCCCAAGCAGGATTTGAACCTTGCAACCTTCCGATTGCGAGCCACCTGGCCGGTTTCTGCACGTGATGCCCTTTTGTCAATCCACTGCTGGATGAAGGCCCCCCCCCCCCCTCTCTCCCCCATGCCATGTCATTTGTTAGGTTTGTTTGACCATACTTCACCACACTGGTCAGTGGGGGTTGGTGAAAGGTTAGCGGGAGCCCAGGACCGGTCAGATATCACTCGCCACTGACGTTTGCCACGGTCAGGAATCAAACTCTGGTTGCCAAATTACCAGCGCAGCGCTCTAACCACTGTGCCACCGCTCCACTCCCAATCATTAGGTCCACGTGTATCACCAGGCCATTCGCCGATCCACTGCTGGATGAGGGCCTCCCCAAGCTGTCCTTGTCCACGGGGGTTATTTTTCCATACTTCACTACTCTGGTCCATGCGGGTAGTTGACGTTGGGGGGGTAGAGCATAGAAGTACATAACAACAATGCATTTATCTGCACTGACCCACCACGTGTCCCTGCAGCCACCTCGTGTACATGGTGCTGTCCAGGCTAAGAAGATTTGCTTAAAATAAAAATGCCGACTAAATAACACCGTTGCCTTCCGCTGCCTTTCAATGTAGTCGTACCCTCCCTTTAACGAAGAATCGGCAAAACGAATGAATGAATAACAAAAATAATTTCTCGCTAACTTTATAGGGCATCATTAATGCCAAGCGCATCTCAAAATGCTGTGGAATCTGTGACACGCGCGGTAAAACAGTTCAACATACATACGTACAAAGACCACAAGCAAGCCGGAAGGCAGCCAGAACCGGCGCCAACAATTACCCGAGCTTTGTGCTCCTATATTTGGATGTTCGTCTAACTCCCCTAATGGGTGTGTTTATATACATGCGGGAGGACACTGGGGTAGCCCCCGGCGGATGAACTAATGAACGAATGAATAAACTGGCGGTGCTGCAGTGAGCTGGAGGAGGACCTGGCGCTGTGCCTCATCGCGATGCCGTCTCGTGAGGACCGCTTGCGCGTCGTCGGTGACGCCGGGCGCCTGGAGATGCTGCGCTCGCTGCGCCCCGGCGCCGTGGTGCGCGTGAACCTGGCGGTGGCCGGGCCGCGCGAGGCCATCGGCGTCGTGCGCTACTGCGGCCCGCTCGACGACCGGCCCTTCTCCGGCACCAGTTTCGGCATCGAGCTGCAGGTGAACACGTCGTCCCGGTTCGCTGCCGGTGGCCGGTGCGGGGTGGGGTTGAGAGGGGGGGGGGGGAGATGGCGTAGGGAGGGGTGATCGAGGTCAAAGCGCGGTGTGCTAATTGCTGTGCCACTGTTCCACCCCACTTCCCGTCGAGTGCCGCTTATTTCATCGCCACTGAATGGGATTTGAACTTATAACTTGACTGTCTTGAGTCGAGCGCTTTAATCACCGAGTCGCCCTCTGTGTGTGTGCCCTTGTGTGTGTGTGTGTGCCCCTGTGTGTGTGCCCCTGTGTGTGTGTGCCCTCGTGTGTGTGTGTGTGCGTGCCATGTATGTGCGGTCGTGGTAGTGGTTAGCGTGCTGCGCTACGAACCTGGTGACCTGAGTTCGGCTCCCACTCACGGCCAACATCAGTGACGATTAATTATCTGAACTGCTCCTGGGCCCCTCCCCTAGGTTGCCTCCAATGAGTACCTGGTGCGGTGTGTAATCATCGCCACTGGGGCGTGGTGCTTGGCCACCCACCGCCTCGTGTGCCGCGCCGGCCTTCGTGGGTGCTCGCTTAACGGCACTTGCCCAGCGACAGTCTGTTGAAGGCTATTACGGGGCATCTTTGTTTTCATCAGTGACGATTAATTATCTGAACTGCTCCTGGGCCCCTCCCCTAGGTCGCCTCCAATGAGTACCTGGTGCGGTGTGTAATCATCGCCACTGGGGCGTGGTGCTTGGCCACCCACCGCCTCGTGTGCCGCGCCGGCCTTCGTGGGTGCTCGCTTAACGGCACTTGCCCAGCGACAGTCTGTTGAAGGCTATTACGGGGCATCTTTGTTTTCGCCTAGGGATATTACCGGGGCAAGGGCGTGACGGACGGAACGTACAGTGGCAAGCGCTTCTTCACGTGCGACGAGGAGTGCGGCGTCTTCGTGCACCTGAACCGCATCGTGCGTTTGGAGAGCGAGGACGAGAAGGACTACCTGTACCCCGAGCGCGTCAGCGTGCTGGTGAGGGCGGCGCCGGATAAACCAAGTGGCAGCACCTTTTTTACACTTTCCCGCTTGCGTCTTTAAACGACGCACGGGCTCGTAGCCCCCCTGCCTCGGCAACATCTTGCGCATCCACCGGCGTGGCACAGTACGGCAGTGGATGTTGCCCGCCGCTGCGCCCTGCTGACGGGCAATGAAACCTCGAAACCGATCACTGCCAAACTTTTAACGCGCAAATGCTTTAGCGGCCAATATGATGATTCGTAATTGCATTCTTCCGGGCAAGACACCTGATGATGATGCTGGATGTCATCTTCAGCGAAACAATATTACGCAAATTGTGCATAATTTTGCTTGCCTTTCAACATTCCCCCCCTCCTCCCATTTGCTGAAAGAAAATAACAAATCAATTGTCATTTTTGCCCATAACGTGACAGCTTGATTCGATTGGTTCCGTCGGGTGGTGGAGGGTTATAGTTACAATACACACCGACGCGGCGATCGAAACCCATGCAGCTGCCGCCAAGAGCGTCAGCCGCGCCTTCCACGGCATCCCGACTCGACCGCTGCAACTCGCTCCGCTCCCTGTTCCCCAACAGGACAGCCTCTCCCTGGACGGCAACAGCTATAATGCGCTGGGACTGGGGGGCAGCGGCGCTAACGGGGGGCCCTCGGCGCCGAGGCCGATGAGGCCCAGGAGCACGCGGGACTTGTCGCCCGAGCACGGAGCCCAACTGCCGACCGTGCATTGTGAGTGTTGCTGTCACCGGGGCTTTCGCTCGCTCGTCTGCTCGCCCGCTCGCCTGCTCAGCCGCTCGTTCAACTGCTCTTTCGTCCGCTCGCTCGGCCGCACGCTCGTCCGCTCGCCCGCTCGCCCGCTCGCCCGCCTGCTCGCCTGCTTGCACGTCCGTTCACCCACTCGCTCGTGCATTCAGTCGCTCGCTTGCCCACTCGCCCGTCCACTCGCCTGATCGCTCGGCCACTCAGCCGCTCGCTCGCCCAATCGCTCGGTCGTCCGTTCACCCGCTCGCTCGTCCACTCATTCGTCTGCTCGCTCGCCCACTCACCCACTCGCTTGCCCACTCACCCGCTCGCTCGCCCACTCACCCGCTCGCTCAGAATCGCGACACCACTTGGATCATGTGTTGCGACGGGCAGGACTCTCACTTGATCACCTCATCACTCGCCACCGATGTTAGCCGTGCCTGACACAGACGTGTAATGGCCTTGCTCTAAAGGACACCGTGAACCTCGACAATCTCGGTATCTTTTTGCCGATCGACGTCGGTCGGCCGGCCCGCCCCTTGCCATTTTCTCCGTGGTGCAGCGGGAAGCCGGTACGCCGCGGGGTCGGACCTGACGTCGCAACAGTATCAGAAGGACCCCTCGCGCAACAGCTTGGCCGTGGGCAAGCGGCTCGCCCACCAGAGCTACAAGGCCATCGGCGAAGGCCGCTCCTTCCTCAACAACCACATGCACAACAGCGGCATCGGCAACCACGCGCCCGACTTAAAACGCGGCCTTGGCGGCAGCCTCGTCGCCCCAGGGGACGGCGCCGCCGACGACTATCTCCCGTCGAAGTACGCCCAATCGGCCGAGACGTCTCTGCAGACGGGCGGCCGCAGGGGCGGCCCCGTGTTCTCGTCGTCGCCGCCGCCGTCGTCTTCGCCGGCGGTGCTTGGGCAGTCGAGGGGTTTGGGCGGCAGGCAGAGACCGGGGAGCGAGCCGGCAAGCCAGTTCTACAACACGCTGGGCGGCACGCCCATCGGGCAGAACTCGCAGACGACGTGGTACTGCGGCTCGCCGGCTGACCCAGACGCCGGTGGGTGGTGCCCCCACCCCCCCCCCCACCCCCCTCCCACACCTCGCCTTTCGAACCGAGTTCCCGGCGCGCGAGCGGTAATGGCGCACGCCATTTTGGCTCTCGTGGCGCTTGTTGTTCGGCGTGCTCTCCGACCTTTCCCCGCACGACCTTTCGCCCACTCCATCTGTTCGCTCTCTATCTTTTTTAAGGGGCGCCACGGTGGTGTGATGTGATCTTCCTCGCCCGGTATGTAAGAGGTCAGGGGTTCGATCGCGACACTGACGCCTGTTGTATATTTGGAGTTTGCGTGTTCTCTCCGTGGTTGTGTGGATTTTTTCTCCGAGTCCTCCGGGTTTTCCCTCCACATTTAGAAAAATGCATTTGGATAATTTAGATTATTTCCACGTGATAAGCCACTTTGTTGAGCTATCATTTGTGGCCAGGTTAATACCTGAGTGGCCTTTTACCTGGTAAGATAAAACATAGTTTAGTTGTATTTGTATATGTTTTTAACCGATTTGTTTACCTTCCTATACTTTGCAAGCCTATCGTGCTTTGGGTATTGTTCTGACCCGCCCCTACTGGAACGTCCTGTAGACAAAGAGCTTTAAGGCCAATCGGATTCCTCCAGTATAAATATATTTTCTCATTCTTATTTTGGTGCCGCAGTGACGAGCTTGGGCGGGCGATTCAAGTCGGAGCTGAGCCTGAAGCCGCTGCGGCCGCACGTGCCGCACACGTGGCCTGACATGGGCCTGCGTTCGCTCGGCGACGCGGCCAGCGTCACCAGCGGCTTGGGCAGCAGCTGTTCCGTGGGCGGTGGCGGCAGTGAAGGTTTTGCCGCCGTGCCGTTTAGTTCGGGGCGGTCTCGTCCCTCGCTCTGCAAGACCAACTCCAACATCGCGCCTTTCTTCCCAGCCGCTGAGATGGTGAGGAGGCGGCAGTGTGGATTTCACGAGTAGGGCCCCGTGTCCCGGCCTCGTGATCCAGGTTTAAAAAAAAAAAATTACACGCAGATTTCTTCATTTGAATGACCAACGGCAACATCACCCCCCTCTACCGACAGACTAATGTTCTCCTGTGGGCCAGTGCCTCGGCATATCTCGTGCTCTACAGGGACAGCTTTCTTCAGGGGGTCCCCTCGGCTAAAAAGAGAATCATAGCTGGGCTGTGGAGTGATTGAGATGTGTGATATAAGGTGCTTTGAGATGCTGGGGCATTTTAAGCACCTAATGAATGCAATCTTAATCTTTAGCCTTGCCGAAAGTCCCTGATGTCAAAATGAGCCGTTGTCTGACCCTGATTGACCGATTGGCGATGGATAAAGCGAATGAAACGGTACAAATAAGATAATTAAAAAAACAGTGCCAACGAGACGGTGGAAACGAGGTGAGGAAATGTCACAACCCCGGATCGTGACGATTCATGGCATCGCCAATGAGCGGCGAACGGTTTCACGTCCAGATATTAAAATAAAAATTCCTGGACTCCCCCAGCGTATAATCTTGAGGCGCGTAGAGACAAACCAAGGCATCTTCAGCATTCGTCGACTTGCCATAACGGCAGTGGTTATTTTTTTAACACGCGGAAGAATGCCGTCACCTCGCCGCGTTTGTCTCCAGGTCGGCGGCCGGACGGCAGGCGAGGGCCGCCCTAAGAGGCTGCCGGAAGACAACGGGCCTGGGCCTCCTGGCGGCCTCACCGATCCCGAGGCCCCTCCGTCGCGTCCCCGCACGCTCTCGGACCCCGCGGCGGCGGTGGCGGCGAACTTAGGCGGCCTCGTCGATCGGTCGCCGGCGACCCCTCCGACCCCGTTGTCGCCCTCGCCGGTCGGGGGCAAATACGAGCTGGAGAAAGGCTCGCTGGTGGAGGTGATGGCCAAGGAGATGCGCGTGTTCGGAGTCATCCGGTGGATCGGCGTGCCCCTGGGCTTGGACGAGACGCTGGCCGGCATCGAGTTGGTGGGCCGTTTTCCTTTTTTTAATTTGTTTGCGCCGTTACGAGGTTTTTGTTGTTGAAGGAATTAGTTTTGGTTTGTACGAGACTCCTCTGCCCGTCACCGGATTCACCCATAGTGTACCACACGTGGGCAGGTTTCGGTTGAGTTGGGTTGAGCCCGGATAGTGTGACCACGCTACTCACGGCCTGTTTATCTTAGGGAGCTGTAAGGCAGAGGGCAGTGTTACGAAATCGACTGTTGTACTGTCCGTCTATACGCCCCCCCCTCACCCCACCCCGTCTATTCTCACCACTTTCACCAACCAGTGGGTTAACAGATGCTTCCGCTTGCTGCAACCTTAGTTTGAAAGCGTCAAGGAAGGCTAACACGTTGGTCTCGTTGTGGCGCGTGCGTGCATCTGTCCGCGCGCGCGCTCGTGCTCGCAGGAGGAGGAGATGCAGGGCTGCACGGATGGAACCTTCAAACAGCACCGCTTCTTCACGTGTCCGCTGGGGAAGGGCTTCTTCATCCAGTTCACGAAGTGCCGTCCGGACTCGCGCTTCATGTCCGTGCCGCACATCGGCCTCGACCCCGTGCAGCGCTGCAACTCGCTCGGTAACCCGGATGGCGGTGGTTGGCGATGGTGATTGTACGTGTGTACGTTGAACGTCTTCTTGGTTCTTTCGGTAAAGTCACGTAGAAGGGAAATAAAAAAAATAAAAAATTTGTATTCTTTTATTATGTTTTATTCTTTTTTATTTTATTATTTCCCTTCTACGTGACTTTACCGAAAGAACCAAGAAGATGAATCCCTGCAGTCACGAAAGCTTTAAATCGAAATTTTACGTTGAATGTCTTTCGCACCGTACGTAGCCAGCCGTGCTAATCGGAGGTGCGGGGGAAGGACAACTCGTAAACTTTGCGGTGGTGGCTGTTTTTCCGGAGGCGCCAATGGTGGCGGAGCTTCGTTAAACGAGGACAAAAATCCTTTTATTTGCCGTCTTTTTCTTCTGATGCATGCTCCATCCCGATTGCGCCGTCGGCGCCGCCGCGTCACGAGACGGAAGAATCCGTTCAGTACACTCCGCCCGGCGCGTTCCAGATGTTTTTTTTTTGTGTCATCGCCGCGACGGCAGCAACGACGATCAATCCGGAACGAGGAGTGAAACGACGTCACCGCCGCCGCGTGTCTCCCCCGCCCCGTTCCCCCACTCCGGCAGCGTTCAGCAACTACCGGAGCGAGCGCGTGGAGGGCGAGGTGCCTCCCCCTTCGGAGAAGGAGGCCACGGCGGTGGTGTGCGGCCGCACGAAGGGCATCCAGGGCCACTACAACTCCTGCTACCTGGACTCCACGCTCTTCTGGTGCGCCCCCCTACTAAACTAAACTATCTTTTAATTTTACCAGGTAAGGCCCCCGCTGAGCTTATAATACAGCTATTTTTTCAGAAACGACCTGGCTGTCACAAATAATAGCTCAACGAAGCGGCTTATCGCGTGCAAGGTCAGTGCAGGCAAATACTCAAGACGCGTGTCTCCAAATGTGGAGGGAAAAACTAGAGGGCCTGGAGGAAAATCCACGTGACCATGGGGAGATCATGCAGACTCCAAATATACGGCCATCGGGGTCTGAATCGAACCCAGGCACTCCTCCGTACCAGGCGAGGGAGTTAACATCTCGCCACTTGAACCCTTGGGTTTAAACGTCTCACGGAATGTTTTCTCCGCTACCTTCATAACGTGGCGTAGGCACATGACTAGCAGCCACAGCCATAGCGAGGGGTATACCGGATACGGTGTGCTAGGCGGTGAAATGTTTTTAATTACCTGACCGCTACATCCTGGCCCATGAGCTGTAGGTTCCCTCAACAGCTTTGACAGGGCATACCTTTCAATTGTTTATTGCCACGTGTGCTGACCGACGCCCCCGTGCGCGCCTGTGTTGTGCGTGTCTCTCCGCGTCTCTCTGCGCGCCAACGTCCACCTGCGCATGCAGCATGTTCGCGTTCAGCACGGTGTTCGACGGCATGTTGCACCGGCCGCAGCGTTCCAGCGACCTCAAAGATTACCCTAAGGTGCAGCAGCTGCTTCGCGAGGACATCGTGAACCCGCTACGCAAGTACGTGGCGCGCGGCGTGGAACCCACGTTATCCCTCTCCCTTTTCCACCGGCACATCCGTGCCGAGACAGCGTGTGAGGCCGGCACGGTACGGGGTGGTTCTCCCACTGGCTATTTTCCATGCAGCGAGGACATCGTGAACCTGCCGTGCCAGTATGCAGCGCACAGTGTGCGTGGAAATCGGCCCCGATACTCGTGTTAACGGAGGGAGGGGGGGTGGGGGGCAGGTGGCTTGGGTGCCTTGGGCGGGGAGGGGCTTACAATGGCCATGTTGGAGCCACTGAGCCACCGTTGCAAAGATCCTGGGTGCTAATCCGTGTTTCAGCCACCGCGAGATGTAGCGATTTGATGGTCTGAGCCCATTAAAATGTGTTCGTGGCACAAATGAAATGTTATTGGGGAAAAAAATCTGAATTTCGCAGTTGGTTTGTCCCTTAAATTTCCATCTTCCAGTTTTGTCAATTAAAGATGTTCATTTCATTGCGTTGCGACAAACACTTTTGGCGGCGCCGATGAAAGGTGCGCCCCGAGCGTGGATAATGAGGCTTATAAACGAGGCTTCGTCGGAAGTTCAGCAGTAGCTCTGCGACATTGTCTTCCGGCGGGGGGCCTCTCCCCAGAGAAAAGACGAGGGTGGTGGTGGTGCGGTGTTGTGTGTGAGAATTCTTCACGGCAACGTTTTCGTCTCTCTTCGTGATGCTTGGCGGCACAGTCGGAATAATAATTTAGAAGAAAACGCACAAAAGAAATCGAACCAAAGTCGTCACCGTTGGCGTTGCGATGTCAACGATCGTGTGACCATGCACGTGACTGCTTGGAAAACTTTTCCCGACAACGTTTACCCAGATGGATTTATTTGATGCGACGCGTTTTTTGAAACACACCTCCTACTTGTATGCACGCGTGCGTGTGCGCACGTGCACGCGTACCGCGCTTCGTGATCTGCCGTTGAACGCTAAGGCTCTCTTACGGTGTCGCCGCGCAGGAACGGCTTCGTGAGCGCCACCAAGGTCATGCAGCTGCGGAAACAGCTGGACAAGATCGGCTACGTCACGGGGCTGACGTGCGAGGAGAAAGGCGAGTATGGACTGGCAGCGCGTGTTCGCGACGGCGCAGGGCCTGTCACGTCACACTTCTACTCACCCTTTCCCGTTTCAATGACGTAAGTGTGTTTGTGTGTGTACGTCATCGAAACGGAACCAGAAGAAAAACTCAAATGAAATAACCTTATCAGTACCGAGGCTCCCACGATGCCGATTAGCACGGCTCGCTATGTACGGTGCGAAAGAAGTTCAAAATACACACGTGCGGCACAGTTTGGCGCCCGCTATCATAGAGTGCGGTCGTGTCGTTAGAGTTTTCTGCGGTGAGTACGATGTCTTTTAAAACAACCGCGCTACGCCTCTCTGAATAAAATTAACACTGAGCCGCTCGCACGTTCCGAGATTCGCCGGTGAATGGGACCCCGCCCCCGCAACTTGCAGACGTCTCAGGAACGGGAAAGGTTTAATCGGCCGCCTCGGGCGGAGGAGCAGGGGGTTTACGACGCATTGTTGTGTACACACGACCTAACCAAAAAACCCAGTTGTGCGCCGTTCAAACATTTGTGCGTGTTACCGCCGTGCCGTGCTGTGCCGTGCTGTGCCCCTGTCCCGAGCTGAGCGTTTAAAATAATCAACGCCCCGTGTTGTCGCTCGCGCAGATCCCGAGGAGTTTCTCAACACCCTGTTCCAGCACGTGCTGAAGGTGGAGCCCTTCCTGAAAATCCGGTGAGGCACGGAGGCATGGCTCGAAGCATCTCGCTCCTTTGACGTCACCTTCCATGGCCCTTCTATTTAAATTTTTTGGGTGTTTAGTTTGTTGTCCTTCCCCCGTACCTCCGATTAGCATAGCTGGCTACGTACGGTGGTGCTTAGCCGCGGGGTTCCCAACGGAAATGTGTTCTTGGTCGCATGAGATGACACGATGCCGCGAGCCCACTTGGAATAGAATTTTAAAAGTGCAAACTGTGTGTGGGATTTAGAATCTGTGCAGAAGGTTGCTGGCATAACTTTTTTGACTGTCGCCCTCCCTTGCTCATGCTGCGTTTACCTCCATACCCTTGGTGTTGCATCTCATCCCCTTATGTTAAGATGTGGTTTGCAGTTTCGATTTAAAGCTTTCGTGACTGCAGGGATTCATCTTCTTGGTGCTTTCGGTAAAGTCACGTAGAAGGGAAATAACAAAATAAAAATAAAACATGATAAAATACAATTCTCACGACGTTTCGGCCACAACGCAAGCAGCCGTCCTCAGGTGAAGAACAGGTCTGTCGGAAAGACAGCGTCAGACGCTGTCTTTCCGACAGACCTGTTCTTCAGACGCTGTCTTTCCGACAGACCTGTTCTTCACCTGAGGACGGCTGCTTGCGTTGTGGCCGAAACGTCGTGAGAATTATTTTATTATGTTTAAATTATTTTGTTATTTCCCTTCTATGTGACTTTACTGAATGAACCAAGAAGGTGGTTTGCAGTGTTCGGCATTTGAAATGCAATTTGCTATATAAAGTAAAATTCGTGTTTATTATTAAAAATGTTTTCTCTCCCTGGATTCGACCATGCCCAGATCTGGAAACAAGGACTTCCAGGACGGCCATTTCTACCAGATCTTCACGGAGCGTGACGAGCAGGTGAAGGTGCCCACGGTGCAGCAGCTGCTGGAGCAGTCGTTCCTCGCCGCCGACCTCAAGCTCGTGGAGGTGACGCGACGCGTCGCACGCCACAGCGCCGCAACCACGCCGCGATAGACACCGCTACGACCACACTGCACCACAACCACACAGCGCCACAACCACACAATGCCACAACCACGGCGCGATAGACACCGCTACGACCGTGCAGCTCCACAACCACACCCAGCGCAACAACCACACAGTGCCACAACCACACAGTGCCACAACCACACAGCGCCGCAACCACACAGTGCCGCAACCACGCCGCGATAGACAATGCTACGACCACACTGCACCACAACCACACCCAGCGCAACAACCACACAGCGCCACAACCACACAGCGCCACAACCACACAGCGCCACAACCACGCTGCGATAGACACCGCTACGACCACACTGCACCACAACCACACCCAGCGCAACAACCACACAGTGCCGCAACCACGCCGCGATAGACACCGCTACGACCACACAGGGCCATGACCACGCAGCAACCGCACACCGTTGCGCCACCGCGCTTGCACCACACCCGCACTATGCCAGGCGGCACTACATGATGTCACGCTACGCTCTGCTACACACCGCCATATTACCGCACACCGCCACCATTCGGCACCGTCATTCGCCACCGCAGCAGACAATACCAAGCCGCACAGAGACATTCCCCACCGCGCTAATACCGCACCACGCTGTGCTCCACACCTATGTCATACATCACCATGCGACAAAGGGAAGGGCGTTGCCTGGACACCATGATGAAGGTAGCAATGGTGTTAAAGTCCGCTACCGAAACCCGTCTGGAAAAGCAAGTCTCAGGTCAGCACTTGCCGCTTCTGCAACACCCAGAAGCACAATGTAATTAAGGTTAAAAGCAGGTAGTTTTTGTTGTTGTTGTATCGTATCTTCCTTGAACTCGAATCTATGAAAAGCTTGCTGCCAGCAGCATGCAGGAGTTAGCCTTTAATCTCGCGTCTGGCTGATCGAAGTGACCTGATAATGCCACAGCAGGTATTCAGTGTCACCTGCCGGAGGGGGCCTTTCTCCAACACCGCTCGCGATGGACCGCAGCTCACGCGTGCCACACCTGTGTCTCTCCCGCAACCGCCCCTCGCCCGTGTCTCTGCAGACGCCCTCCTGCCTCATCGTGCAGATGCCCAGGTTTGGCAAGGACTTCAAGATGTTCAACAAAATCATCCCCTCCCTGGAGCTTGACATAACGGACCTGCTGGAGGACGGTGAGCAGCGTCGGTGGCGCGTGACGAGTGGCCGCAGCCACAGAGAGAGGCATTCTGGATGTGGTGTGCTTTGTGTTCCACCGTGGGTTGTATGTATGTATGTATGCATGTTGAACTTCTTTTGCACCATACATAGCCAATTGTACTAATCGGACGTGCGGGGGAGAGACGCATGCACTCAGTATAATAATCTACTGCTCGATGAAATCATGGTGCTTGTTTGACCATACTTCACTCCGGTCAGTGCGGGTTTGTGTCAGGGGGCGGTGTCAGCTTATAACATTCGCTGCTGACGGTAGCCATGCCGGGGTATTAAACTCAGCTCGCGAGGTTCACAGTGGAGTGTGCTAACCAATGTGCCACCGCTCTCCCCTTGGATGCAACACTGCTACAATCCAAAATAATAATGAGAGATTAGAGAATCGAATCCCGATCCAAAATCACGATAATTCATCGTATCGTGGAGCCGTGTCTCCTTGTGACTCGCTGACCGACTCGATTTCTCCGTACTACCCAACACCTTTACCGCGTGACCGAGCTTCCCTCTCGCCCCCACCCCCCCCCCACCACCTCGCGTTGTGTGTGTGGCACAGCGCCGCGGGAATGCCACATCTGCGGCGGTCTCGCCGAGGAGGAGTGCAAGGATTGCTACCACGACCCAAGGATGGGACCCAGTTGCCTCAAGCAGTTCTGCTCAATGTGCAACAAACAGGTGGGAGCCTGGCACTCTCTCCCCAACGCGGCTGCCCCCTCTTTGTCTCCCCAACGCTTCCGTTCACGCGCCGCGCGCCGCACCGGGAGCTCATTTAATATCGAGTTGAGCTCGGGCACGTGGGTCGGTCGGCAACCTGCGGCTCCGGCATGCCGGCGGGCTCTTGAAGGCTCCGCTTGGCGACGGTGATTTGTCACGGACCACCGCCGTCCGTCTCGCGGTTCACCGCGGCGCATCGCGGCTCTTGAAACAGTTTTTTTTTTTACCGGATTCTAAAAAAAATGGCCGCTCTTGTTGTTTTGGTTTGCCGACCTCTGAGCTACGGGAGGCCCAGGACCGCTTCACATAAATCGTCACCGATGTTGGCCGTGAGCGGCAATCGAACTCGGTGGGGGCACACCGGGTTTCGTAGCGCGGTGCGCTAACCGCTGTGCCGCCGCTTCTCACACGGCGCGCACGCACACAGACACTCGGACCGGGGAGGGAATTACAGTGACGATGTAATTTATTGTTCAGAATCACAATATTCTTGGTTCTTTCGGTAAAGTCACGTAGAAGGGAAATAATAAAATAATAAACATAAAACAATAAAATTCTCACGACGTTTCGGCCACAACGCAAGCAGCCGTCCTCAGGTGAAGAACAGGGCTGTCGGAAAGATGAATCCCTGCAGTGACGAAAGCTTTAAATCGAAATTTAACAGAATCACAATCTTTACTTATCCTGGAGAAATCCGATGAGCTGTGAAGCTCTTTGTCACGGTTGTTCAGTAAGGGGCAGGTCAGAAAGTTACAACAAATGTCACCAAGTCGACGGTTTTATTCCACGAAGTCAGCATGCACGGCGACAGCCATGCTTCTTTTGTCATTGCACTGCCGGATGAGACCCCCACCCCATGCCGTACGGGTCGTGGGGGTCATTTGAGCATTCTTCACCACGCTGGTCACCGCAGGCTGGTGAAGGCGGTGAGCATAGACATCGGAGCATGGTACAATACAACAATGAGGCTTTGTCACACTGTCTTCTGCCGCCCGCGAGTCAGCGTCTTACAATCTCCATCCCACGGTTACGTTTGTTTCTCCTCGCGCGCGCATCAAAACGGTCGCTTCCATCCGAACGCCGACAAAGGTTGTCGCTCGCCCGGCACGCCTGACGATCGCTAATGCGTCGCCAAACGCTTTTGGCCTCCCCCGCCGGAGCGCAGGTGCACAACCACCCCGACCGGCAGCAGCACCGCTCGGTGCGGAAGCTCGTGGTGACGGAGGAGGTGCGCGCCGCGTTCCTGGGGCCCGGCCGTCAGCGTCGGCACGGCGGCGGCGGCTGCCTCGGCGTGGCCCGCGAGAAGCTGGAGCTGTTTGCGGTGCTCTGCATCCAGACGAGCCACTACGTCGCCTTCGCCAAGCACGGCCCCGCCCCACAGTCGTGGCTCTTCTTCGACAGCATGGCCGACCGTGAAGGTGATTGCTGCGTACACTTTATTTTTTTTTTCTTCGTGACTTGCTTACCTTTGCACTCGTGTCACCGCGGTGGCTAGGAGATGGTAACTACCTCGCCTGGTATGCAGGAAGGTCGTGGGTTCCATCCCGACCCCTGACGCCCGCTGCTGTATATTTGGAGTTTGCATGCGCTCGCAATCGGACGGTCACGAGCTCAACTCCTGGTTTGTGGGGGTTGACTCAGCCCATCCTCCTTTTGGAGTCTGTTAATACAATGAGCACCACTGTTCAGTCAAGAGCGGTTGTCCTACCGTTCGACTTGCCCCCCACCACAGAAATGTGGACTTTCCACCGCGAGCTCAGGGCTGTAAACGAGCGATGACCAACCAACCGCCCCGATAACTCTCTTGAGCCGCGAATCGCTTGGAAAAACCAATTCCTCCCGTGGCCTCCCTCACCCGCGAACCCTCCCGGCAGGCGGGCAGGAGGGCTTCAACATCCCGGAGGTGCGCGAGTGCCCGGAGGTGGCGCAGTACCTGAGCATGCGCCCCGAGGAGCTGGATGGCCTGGACCCGCGCGTCATGGAGGGCCCGGCGTCGCGCCTTCTGTGCGACGCGTACATGTGCATGTACCAACACCGCGACATGATGCTCTACAAGTGACCGTTGCCGCCTGCTCGCCCGCCCGATCCGCATCCGCCTGCTCGCCCGATCGCCCGATCGCCCGCCAGATCAACCGCCCACCCAACCACCCACTCACGTCTTCAACTCTCTGTTCTTATTCTTTCCCATCTGAGGGTTCTCCTTGCTCATGCGGACTCTTGGGTCCCTTATGTCCTTCTCCTCCTCCTCCCCCGGTCGATCGGTGCCGCCACCATTGGGTACAGCAAAACGTGCAGTGCGAGACGTTACGGAGAGAGCGTTGAGGCTGTACGTAGCTCTCGATACGGACGAGAGGGAGATGTCGGGCAATAATATCCGCTATTGGTTTTATCGCACGATAAGGTTATTTGCAAATTGGCGATCGTTGACCATAACGGGAACATTTGTAATTTTCCTTCAATTGTAACGTCTGCAATGAAATCGCCACGGTGCCGAATTCACGAAACCCGACGGCCCCTCTCTTGGTAGGTTCCCAGATCGTGGCCTTTCTTCCGGCTCCATTCCATGATTGCTCCTCCGTAGCTTGGAAGCCCCTTCCCCCGGCTGTCCGTGCTGTCGATTCCCTGCCCAATGACTGTCACTTCTCCTACATGTGTGGCAAGAATAACTTCACGTTGGTTTGTGCGGAGAGACTTGCTGCGCACTTGCATTTAAATGCAGTGAAAATTCAAATCCGACTCTGCCTGCTCCCCCTTCTCTCCCTTCTACACCTGCCCAGTCTCTCTCTCCCCGTTGTTCTCTCCACTTCACTGCCCTTCTCTCCCTAAGGATTCTCTCCCCCTCCTCCTCGCACACCCCCTTCTCATTACTTCTCCACTCTTCGTCATCTCCCTCCCTCCCCCTTCCCTCGTTCTTTCTCAAGGGCACTCACAATTTGCGTGGCTGCTCGCGACTTTCAACACTCGGGGGATGGGGGGGTGTGTGGAAGTTTCGTCTCGTCTGTTTCGGGTCATCTTCCCATACCCCAAAGAGATGTGTATACATTTTTTGTTATCTCGTTTTTTGTTTTGTTTTGATCGTTTACGTTATTATTATTATTAATGTTTTTGCATTTATAATTTTTTTTGTTAACATCGGTCATTATGATCGGTTGTCGGAATTTTCTTTTTGTAATTATTGTTGTCGGGGTCTGATTTCTGGTGTTTTTATTGCGTGCAATGTCTGTTGGATTTTTACTCGCAACCCCGTCAGCCGGGACGGGACTGTCCGACGTTTGTAGCCGCGCTCGCGCCCGATACAGCCAGAGAGTGCGAGGTGCCGCCTTCATTCGTTGAGCCTCGCGGGAAAAAAGCTGCGTCCGTGGGCAAGCCACCCGCCGCGGCCGCCACTTTTCCCAAACCTCGCTCGCCACCGTACACCACAAGCAGAACCGGCTGATTGTCGGCGAACAGGCAGCAAGGCTACGACGGTAGTCGCCACCGATCCTGGCATCTGAGCTTCCTTCGCGCCAGAACAGTCGTCGCTCAACCCCGGTGGGCACGCGTGGTCTTACAACGTGGCGCCGCTGTCGCCACTCGATCGGAATCGATTTATCTTAGGAGAAACTTGAGACGCAGCTTTTAACGCCACCTGAACCGGGCTAGGGTTTACTGTATAGGCTGGACCTGCCCCTAAATCACAAGGCCAACGTCATCCCGGCGTGCGTAGGACAGTCCGGGGGACCCCCCTGCCTCCGCTGAGAGTCGAGTGCGCGCGCGCGTGTGATTCCCGCGTATTGTGCGTGGGGTCGAGTTGGCGCGCCGTCACGATGCCGAATGTCGCTCGCTCACCGTTCGCGTCACCGTCGGCGTAGGCGAGCTCGCCCCGCTGTCTTACGCCGTCGCCTTTATCAACGTCAGGAAACCCGCCCTGCCCCCCCTGACCCCGCCCGTCCACGCGGCTGTTTAAACGCTCGGTTAATTTGGCGGCGAAAAAGGAAAAAAAAGAAAAAAAGTTACAAAAAAAACCTCCCCAGTGCATGTTGCTCCGCGGGCGATCGCCACTAGACTCCCCCCCCCCCCCCCCCCGCTGCCGCAAGCCGTGGCGGAGAAGTACACAATACGGTGTGACGCGGCGGTGTGCCATTCGTCGCGTTGACGCAACCCGCTAAGAGTTTTCCCCATCGTCCCCGGGCTGTGCACTGTGGCCATCGTGAACGTTGTGTTTGTGACCGTCGAGGAAAAGCAATGATTCCCTTTATCACGCGAACGTCGCTGCCTCCTCCGCCTCGTTGCTCCCTTATTCCCGTGCACTTAGCCTGTGGCTCGTGTGTGTACAGTTTTGTATTTAATGCGATAACCGCGTAGAACCCCCTGCGCGCGCTCTTGTCGGCTTACGAAGCGCGAACTTGGGTCCGCCAAGCCTGAATGTACCACATCTTAGGGAATCGTGTACCGCGGCTGTACGTTGAATCGTGATACCGGTCGGATTTGTGTGCTGTCAGTATAACGTGACCCGTGCTTTTACTGCTGCCAGCAGCAGCAGCAGCAGCATTTGCAACCAGGTCGGTGGCCGCACGCCCACAGCGTGCGGTCTTACTTTTAAGGCCCTCAAGCGACGGTGCAGTTGTGAGCCCCAGCCAATCACCAGTTTGATTCGCGGCCACGTCTAAAGTCAGTGTCGAGTGATACCTGAACCGGTCTTGCCACTGCCCTACTCCCTTCTTGGTCAACCCCCGACTGACTGGTGTGGTGAAGTATGGTTACGCATCCCCCATGGCTGACAACGCTCGGCCATTGGATTGACCGAGGCTGTAAATTTACAACCATTATTAAATATCTTTGAGCGGGAAACTTGACTTTTAATGGGGGCTCGCAGTGGGGTGGCTTCAGAACCTCTCCACTGCTGGCTTATGATGAGCCACTGCCGTGTCAAACAGAGGCGCAATAGCAAGCCCTGCCAATTTGGAGCACAAATTTATGACAATTGTGAATGGGATCTGCGGGCTGCTCCTTCAGGTGAAGGCAGAAGCGAAATCCGTGGGAATGGCCACTAAAATAAGTGACTGCCTATGACCCTGGATGTACACAGCCGATCCACTTATCGATCCACTGCTGGATGAGGGCCTCCACAGACCACGAGTCATCGTCGAGTGCGATGCCTCTTTCTGCTCCGCAGTGTGTCCGCTGCGCAAGGCCCCAACGGCAGCCTCAAGCAGGCCGTTCGGTTGCCCGCCGGCGGCCACCCAATCATGACAATTTAGGTTCAATCCTTGCCTCGCTTCTGAGATTGGACAAAAATCAATGAATTACGCACGACGTTAAAGTGGCAGATAAGTTGCTACTTTGAAAGTACGTTCCGGTTAAAGCAAGACGCCGATCCATGGCGCTATGTTTGAGGATCACTTGGCCACATTTTCTTCTGCAGAACGATGGCTGAATATTCATAAAACCAAAACAATGTTTTGACCGATTCTCAGCCACTGCCAATATCAGTGATGATAAACGAACCAGTCGGCACCACCTTCACCAACCCCGCACTGTAACCAGCAGAGTCCATCAATCTCCATGACCTCGCCGCCAATTAGCACGGTTGGCTACGTACGGCGCGAAATAAGTTCAACGTACATACATTTGACTGTGCAGCAGCACAAAGCATTCGCCGTTCCCTAACGCGGGACCCGCGGATGAAAGAAACCCGTTGAGGCCGCCTTTGCCAGGGAGGGAGACCTGGGTTCATCTCGCACCCGGAAAGGCTGGCAGTGGGCATGCGACTTGCGTTATACTGACAGCAGAATTCTCCACCGGTACCAGCTCAACTCCTGTCGATTTATTTTCAACAACAGAAATGTCTTCGTTTAAGCAATGCCCGCCGTTGCCCACAAAAAAAAGACAAATGAATGACGACGACGACGACGATGGGAATGTTGAGTAGAGAATGCCGACTGTGCCCGAAGCGACTTTGTGGTCAGTATGGAGTGCTCGTGGGCGCATTGTGCTGACGGCGTGTTTCCACGTGCGGATTGTTTGCATGGCGAGCTGCCAACTTGGTTCGTTTGAATGGCGCGGCCTGCGGTTGTTCGGGTGAAATGCCCCTTGTTAAGGACGCCACGATCTCTTGCTTTGCAGCCAAAGTGCGAGCAACTCCGCGAGCTTTTTCTTCGTTTTTTTACAGGTCACTTTCAAGAACTGAAAGCATCCTTTTTGCGATTTACTGTCCAGGACTTTTTAGCACTTATGTCTGAGTGGTAAAGCCAAGCTAAAGGCCCCCCCTCCCCCCCATGATACTTTGGCAATGGCATGCCAGCAAAATCCCCTCGTTATTTGCGAGGGACACGTTCTTGGAGATGCTCGTGAATAACAAATTGTTTGCGGATGGTATTGCTAATGAATAGCACATTTCACGGATAATGATATTTGGCCTACGGAAACCATTGCATCTTTTCTTTAATGAATTACCTTACGTAAATAAATGAATAAATAAGTTACTTAAATGTATGACAATTATAACATGAAAACTATTTGAAGTGGTTATACTAAACATAAAGTAAATACAAATTAATGTTAATGTATTAAATACAAGTTTATGAATGAACTTACCATATCTCTTTCTCTAATCACTTTAAATGCAGTCGTGTAAAGTGGCAGGTGTGAATCGCAGATTGCCAAACTCGTGGATAAGCAGGTCTGTGAATAACGAGGGAATACTGTACACATCTATTCTGTAAACTTGAGTCCGTTTTATATTTGGCTTATAAACTAATTCCGAACGAACGGGGTATGATCCTGGTTCCTTCCGTGCAGGAGTTTCCTTTTTCCAGATTCCGTGTGGTAGAAGCTGACCTTATCACGTGTGTGGCCTGCAAACAAACCCCACGTTTGACTTTGGAGGGCATTGGCAGGTCCCTGAGAATAGACAGGACCGCCTGTGAAAGGGTTCAAAACTGGAGGCCAATGTCCCCCACATCTGGCCCAACAAGCTGCCCCCCTCACAAACAAAGAGATACAGACCCGTGACGTATGGTGTCACGTGCTTTTCCAGCGGCGCGCTCGTGTTTCGACGCCCCGGGGTTCAATGTCGTAGCTAAAAACCCCGGCATAGAAGGGAACGGGAGTTCGGTCTTGCCAGTGACAAAATACTTTGTTGAAAAGCGTTGTGGGGGGGGGGGGGGGAGGTTGACAATCGACAATTGGTTTGCAGAGCGCACAAAATCTGCGATTGAATTGGAAGTTGCCATTGCCAGTTGCACGCGAGGTAGAAGCAGAGGTCAGATTCGCCGAAAATATACGAGCCAACAGATTTTTTTCGTGGTAGAAAATAGTATTGGCAACTGTTGCCTGTGACGATTGCCTTACAATTGCTCCGGCTGTTTCATGGCCTAAAGCAGTGGTTCCTAACCTTTAATGCAGCCTTGCACCCATTTGGTTCTCAATTGTTCAAAACATGTATAATGGTAATAAATGCATCGGGTTTGATGAAACAGAGTGGTTGTGCTGGCGTGCCCGTGCTTCATTGTTGTGTTTTGATGATTTACCTCCAATGCACCCCAGGTTAAGAACCACTGGTCTCAAGGCAACAACCCACCTTAAAATGATTGTGGATTCATGTTTTTGTAGGCCATGGTGCCCAGACCAAATAGTTGACTTGTTAACACCGCTTGAGATGGCGAAGCTTGAGTGGCACCAACGCATTTAAATCGCCAATAAAAGCGAACTGCAATAATAACCTTAATCGGCGAAGTGCGTAATCGCAAGATCCATTGTTTTATTTGACGCGCGAGGAACGTGGCATGGCTTCACATTTGCCACCGCTCGTGGTACCCACCCCAGGCTTGCCGCCAGGTCTGCGTAAGACGCCGATTCCCAGACTTGTCCGGGTCGGTGTCCAGGTGGTTGCAGGGAACTAATTTGCGCCGAAATCTGTCTGCGGAATTGTTGCTGCATTGCGGGTTGTCGCAGTGAACGGCACAGCTCTTGATGAGAGACCTCATGCTGGCTGAGAAATAAGTCCCGCGACCCGGTCCTCACGCACCACCCTGTGCTCTGGCCAATGGACCCGTGTCCTTCAATTTCCTTTCAAGCCCCCCCCCCACCCAGTCCATTGATCGTCGCACTCGGTTCTCTGTGTTGTTTCGCCAAACGACAGAAAATCACGGGACGTTGCACCCCCTTCTGATTGTGTCACCTATTCTGAAGTTATCAGCTACCCGTAGCACGTGGTCAGGAGCGTGGGGGGGTGGTAGAGGTTTGGCGGGTGAAGGGTCGTAGTGGACGGGACTCGAACGCTGCCTCGCTCAACTCTGGGACGGACGCCTTATACGAAACCAGCACCGTGCGCTCTCGCAGCAGCTCCGACGACTTCAAAGTGCGTGTCCTGTTCGTTAAGACGACCGCCGATTGTGTGCGCGTGTCACACGCTCGCGTGCTGTGCTCGTGTGCTGTGCTCCTGTGCTGCGCTCGCCCAGACCAAACCCTCGCTCCCACCTCCTCGGTTGTCCTTCTTTCCGAAGCCGATTCGTTCGATCCGTTTCCGCTTCAACGAGTTTGCCTCGTCTCGCGAACGATCGTTTTTGGGTTGCGCGGGGGGGGGGGGGTTCCGTGTCAATAAATGACCAATGAGAGCTCTTCACAGGTGCGAGGATGAGAGACTGTTCCTCGCTTATTGACAGCACACCTGCAGCAGAGACGAGGCTGGATTTAGGGTCCCCCCCCCCCCCCAGCCGCTCTCCTTCCCGGACTCCGCAGCGGAGAAAACCCCTTTCCTATCCTCTAGCACGAAGCTTCCTCTTACACGTGCAGACAGTAGTCACTCAAGGTAGCATTGCTGACATTGTTCATATTAAATAAGTTATTCAATTAAATTGTTTAAAATTATGGGTTCCCCCCCCCCCCACCTTCCCCTATGGGCTCCTCTGGAATTGTGGGCCATTGACCATTTGTCTCCTCACCCCAACCCGAAATCCAGCCCTGATCAGAGCAGCAGAAACCTCCTGACAGAGAAAGTACTGCATGTAGGTGTTACCGCCCACTGGCTTTGAATTAAAATGCCGTTTGCTTCGTCGAGTTTTCGTTTCGTTTAGCCCCAGGCGAGAACTTCCACCATCGGACCCACGTGGCGTGACCGCGGCGCTTTTGCCACATCGGCTGCCGAACTCGGCTCGTCGACACTGCTTGCCTGCGCTGGTCACTCGAACGAGGTTGGAACGCGTCAGAGGGGCGCCCCCCCCCCCCCCCCGCCACAGGGAGGGACGGATTGGGGGGCAATCGATTGCGCTGCAAGGTTGCACTGCACAGTTCATGAGCCCGAGCCCTAAGCCCAACTCGCGTGATTACGATTTGTGACGTTGCAGTCAATTCTACATTGTCCAAGGGGGTGTTAGTGGGGTGATGGGTGGGTGGGGTCTGAATAAAATAAAACGAGGATAACGCAAAGCGAATCTAAATTATGCTACGGAGCGTATTGATGAGCTACGTTGTCGAGTGGGGGGGGGGGGGGTGCAGGCATGGAGCCTCCGCCCGTCGTGCCGACGAGGCTGCGGTTCCGCGGGGGGCACGAGTCGGCGGTCCCCCCTGCGAGCGAGAAGCGTTCGATGAGTGAACCATCGCGCGTCGTCGCGACAGCGTTGTCGCGAGCGCGGTTCATCCGCAACCCGCATTCACCGCCCACGGATAACTGAGAGTGGCCTATACACATGTCGGTCTCTTCCACAGAAGTCGTAATTTTGTAACTTTTCCCACCCCCACCGCTCCCCGAACAGAATGTTTTTTGTCCCATGGATGTTGACATCTTTCTTCTGCTATGAAATGGAAATGCTTTGTGGTTCAATTGTGGAGAGAGAATGCAGTGGCTGTTTACACAGGACCGTTTGAATTGGCTATTTCCCGTCAGACTGAGTCTGACCCTGCCTCCCCACAATCGGTTTGAGGTTTCTGACTAGAACCTCAGTGTCTGATTAGTCAGCAACGACAGAAACACAAGTTGAAAGTTAAACTGCGTGGCCGAAGCACCCTCCGGCGCGGGCAGCAATCCCGAATCCAAATCCACAGTCCGACGTCGCATCCCCGAAAATGAGAACGCAAACAACTCTCCTTGATGGAAATGCCCACTCCGATCTGTCACTTTCACAAAGGATGTAAATGCCCACTGATTTCAGTTCAGTTCATGTATTAGGTATAGCCCTGTGAGCCATGCGGCTCTTGAATCGGGTGCAACCGCAACAAACAAAAACAAGAAACATCTTAAAAGTGACTACGCGCAACAGAAAAAGCCAGGAAAAAATCTGCAAAGTTTCCCATAAAAAGCACCGTATATCAACGATGTGTGCAAAAATCCCAGTGGGATGCAAGTCAAGCAATAACAACCATAAGACAATTTGGATTAAAATTATCAGCCTAACTCTGTACTACAACAAACAAATATGGCTAAACCAAAACGTTTTCGAAATCACCAAAATAAAGCTATAAAACAATGTAACAGTGATCATCGGAACTGTGATTCAAATTTACAATAAACGATATACATAACATGTACGACCAAATCTTGATTTGAGGCTTTGGTGACTGCAGGAATCCATACTCTTTGGTTCTTTGGGTAAAGTCACGTAGGTAGAAAATAAAATAAATCACGACGTTTCGGGCGCAACACAAGCGTCTGTCATCAGGTGGGAAAGCTTGGCCTGCTGCTGAGGCAGAGTGCGTTAAAAGGTTTGAAATGGGTGTAGCCCAAGGGTCATAAAGAAGTGGCCGGGGCTAGTGATCTTAATGTGAGAGATTAGCATGATGTTAATGTAAGAAATTAGCATGATGTTAATGTAAGAGATTAGCATGTAACTGTAAGATAGGAGGAGAGCGGCCTCCTGGACGAGGGCACGGAAGTGGCTATGTTAATGTGAGAGATTAGCATGATGTTAAAGTGAGAAATTAGAAGGCACGGAAGTGGCTATGTTAATGTGAGAGATTAGCATGATGTTAAAGTGAGAAATTAGAAGGCACGGAAGTGGCTATGTTAATGTGAGAGATTAGCACGATGTTAATGTGAGAAATTAGAAGGCACGGAAGTGGCTATGTTAATGTGAGAGATTAGCATGATGTTAAAGTGAGAAATTAGAAGGCACAGAAGTGGCTATGTTAATGGGAGGGATTAGCATGATGTTAAAGTGAGAAATTAGAAGGCACGGAAGTGGCTATGTTAATGTGAGAGATTAGCATGATGTTAAAGTGAGAAATTAGAAGGCACGGAAGTGGCTATGTTAATGTGAGAGATTAGCATGATGTTAATGTGAGAAATTAGAGGGCATGGAAGTGGCTATGTTAATGGGAGGGATTAGCATGATGTTAATGTGAGAAATTAGAGGGCATGGAAGTGGCTATGTTAATGGGAGGGATTAGCATGATGTTAAAGTGAGAAATTAGAAGGCACGGAAGTGGCTATGTTAATGTGAGAGATTAGCATGATGTTAATGTGAGAAATTAGAGGGCATGTAAGTGGCTATGTTAATGGGAGGGATTAGCATGATGTTAAAGTGAGAAATTAGAAGGCACGGAAGTGGCTATGTTAATGTGAGAGATTAGCATGATGTTAAAGTGAGAAATTAGAAGGCACGGAAGTGGCTATGTTAATGTGAGAGATTAGCATGATGTTAATGTGAGAAATTAGAGGGCATGGAAGTGGCTATGTTAATGGGAGGGATTAGCATGATGTTAAAGTGAGAAATTAGAGGGCACGGAAGTGGCTATGTTAATGGGAGGGATTAGCGTGTTGTTAATGTGATGAATTAGCATGTAACTGTAGAAAAGGAGAAGAGGTGGGCCTCCTCGACGAGGGAGTGCAACCCAACCCATCGGGTGTAACACAGGCCCTTCGTATTACACCCGTTGGTTTGCACTCCCTCGTGGAGGAAGGCCGCTCTCCTCCTATCTTACAGTTACATGCTAATTTATCACATTAACATCATGCTAATTTCTCACATTAACATCACTAGCCCCGGCCACTTCTTTATGACCCTTGGGCTACACCCATTTCAAACCCTTTAAAACAGTCTGCCTCCGCAGCAGACCATGCTTTCCCACCTGATGACGCTTGTGTTGCACCCGAAACGTCGTGATTTATTTTATTTTATACCTACGTGACTTTACCGAAAGAACCAAAGAGTTTGTACGACCAAACTTTCCAGCCATAGCTGGCTGCACGAGTCACTCCATAACAGCAGGAGTATCAGTAGGAGTATCAACAATTTTCAATGCACCTTTAAAGATCAGCACACTAAATCAAAACACAGATCATACTTTGCAGCGGTCATCCGGAGCGATACATTTGATTTCAGGCGACTGAATAGCAGTGACAGCTCGGGGTGTACAACTCCTCGAGCAGTTTTGAGTGAAGATCTCACAGGTAGTGATCCAAGTTGCAGTTTATTGGCGAAAGCATTCCAGACCCTGGGGGCATCAATAGCAAAGGCCCTTCCTCCAGTATTTGTACGGCAATA